CACCACTGACGGCAGGGGAGGAGCGACTCCAGCATGGCTCATCCTACCGTTTTAGAAGAGCTCTGAAAGTCGTAACCTGCCCTTCTGTCCCCAGCCCAGAACGACTTGGGGGGACATTGCAGTCGATTCTGTCCTTTGGTCTCTTAGGGTGTGTCTAGACTACATGCTTCCGTCGACAGAGGCATGTAGATGAGACAGATGGGCAGAGGGAAATGAAGCCGCGATTAAAATAATCGCGGCTTCATTTAAATTTAAATGGCTGCCCCGCTCTGCCGATCAGCTGTTTGTCGGCAGATCGGGGCAGTCTGGACGCGCCGCGCCGACAAAGAAGCCTTTCTTGATCGGCACAGGTAAATCTGGTTTCACGAGGCATACCTGTGCCGATCAAGAAAGGCTTCTTTGTCGGCGCGGCGCGTCCAGACTGCCCCGATCTGCCGACAAACAGCTGATCGGCAGAGCGGGGCAGCCATTTAAATTTAAATGAAGCCGCGATTATTTTAATCGCGGCTTCATTTCCCTCTGCCGATCTGTCTAATCTACATGCCTCTGTCGACGGAGGCATGTAGTTTAGACATACCCTTAGTGTCTCTGATAGGAGCTGCAGAACCAGTAGCCCCAGGAACCCTCAGACCTTTCACTCTGTTCTAAAATGTAACTGTTCAATGGAACCCCAGATTTAAATGAAGCCGCGATTATTTTAATCGCGGCTTCATTTCCCTCTGCCGATCTGTCTAATCTACATGCCTCTGTCGACGGAGGCATGTAGTTTAGACATACCCTTAGTGTCTCTGATAGGAGCTGCAGAACCAGTAGCCCCAGGAACCCTCAGACCTTTCACTCTGTTCTAAAATGTAACTGTTCAATGGAACCCCAGTAGGAACCACTGGGCAATTTTCATCTCCCCGTTAGGCAGATGTTCTTCTACCCAGTTACTGTGCCCTAGTCACACCAAAGCCTAATTCAATCCTACAAGGGCCACCATCTGTTTGGGTACATCTACACTGTGGGGGTTTTCCAGAGGGATCCCGGAAAAACTCCTCCATGTCCAGGGAACACGTCTGCTCTTCCGCTTTTTTTTGCAGAAGAGCAGACATGCTCTTTTGGGGAGTCCTCGTTTCACAAGGAACTAGGGCTCCTCTGAAAAAGGAGGCTTTCCCATCATTTGGCCCAGCTTACGGGGCCAAATGGTGGAAAAGCCTCTTCTAAAAAAACAATCAGAAAAAGCTACGCAAAATGCGGAGCGCAATTTGCGCAGCTTTTTCCAGTAAAAGAATGTAATCTAGACATAGACTGTATGGGATCTACTAACTTCAGTAGGACTTATGAGGCATGTCTACACTAGGAAATTATTACAAAATAACTAAATTTGAAATAACTTCCAAAATAATAATATCGAAATAGCATGTCCGCACGCCGGGGGAACTTCAAAATTAGCCCCAGGCAGTCTCTATTATTGTGGACACGCTACTTTGGCTTTGAGCCCCAGGAAGCACTGGGGAGTAATTACTTCTAATGACTCTAGGGAGTAGTAATTTCGAAATAGCAGCAGCAGTGCACCCACACTGCCACTATTTTGAAATAAGCGTTATTCCCTGAGGAAAGCAGGAGCACAGAGTTCGAAATAACCAGCCCATTATTTCAAAATAACAGGCTTGGTAGTGTGGACGCGCCACTTATATAAGGGGGGTTATTTTGAAAGAACTCCCTAGTATAGACCAGAGCACGGGTATAACTGTGGGCAGAATTTAGCCCCAAATCTTTTTAAGTAACCCTATTGGCTTCTCCAAAAAACTCATTGGATCCAAGTCATCACCAGAGTCACTCCTCTGATGTCACTGGAGTTTATGTTCTTGTGTGTGAATGTATTTCTGCAGGGAAGAAATGTACTCCCACATATGTTCCTTGATCAGGTAACAAGGAGATGGGGAAGGAGGTTCATTCATGGGTCCTAAGCCTGAACTTTTCCAGGCAGAGCGAAAGGGATGAGATTTCTCCACGCTGAAGAATCCTGTTTAACTCCCTTGACTGCATCTAAACCAGAGGATGCCTTGAAGACCCATTTCACTTTGATGGACCTCCAAATTGTTCCTCAGCCTCTTGAAAGTCAATGACTTTCTTTTCAGTCTATCCATTGTCCATTCTTCACTGGGTATGCTCACAGACACACGCCCCCGATGGTGACTGGCAAATAGGACAATGCTTTACTCGCAATGGGAAAAGTCTGGTTGTATTCTTGGTTGAAGTTCTGGTGGCCTCAGTTACTCTTTCATAAATAGTTAAACATGGGAAGCAGCCTTTAACCAAGCCACAAAACGACTGGAACACGGCTGCTGCTACTGGCTGCTTTTCAAATGCTTCATATTACCAAGAGACTCTTGTCTCCCAGCAGCAGAAGCTAGTCCAATAAAAGATATTATCTCCTCCATCTCATCTCTCTAGTGTCTTACGGGAGCACATTGCAAACAGAAAGCAACCAGTCCTGACTTGGGGAAAACCATAGATAAAATTCACAACAGGGAGAGAGAAAGTAAACTAGCTCTAAGTATTTGCATCAGGGCTGAAAACCTGTGGTTCCGGGGTATCCTAACACGATGCCAGGCATGTGGTTCCTCAGAGTGGTAGGTCGAGATGGGGACAATAGACCAAGAAACACTTGGAAATCAGAGAGAAAGAGCTGCCACGACCTTCTCCCTGCAACAGTATGAAAGGCTATCAAAAGGGGAAATGGAAAAACCTGACATGGAAGGCTATGCCAAGCCACTGCCAAAAGCCACAGACAGAAAACTCCTCGGCTTCATCAAGGTGTGAGTAACTTTTGATGCGTCTGGGGCTCATTGCTTTCAACAGAACAACACACGCAGTCCCCGTTCACAGCAAGCCAGCCTGTATTTCGTATGAAGGGAATATATGAATCACTGCAAAGAACTTCAGGGCGACCCAGTGCAAACACAAGCTGAATTCTCCCCCCTCTGCTTGCTGCAATCTGGCATTCTGTAGCCTAAAACAAAGGCAACAGGAAACAAAATACAGCTAGGCGTCCAACTTTCCCTTTTTTTAAAGGGGTAACTCAGCTTATTACACTTCCATGGAGGAGGGGCTCAGCTGTTCATTTTCAGTCAGGGCGAGTCTACCCCACAACCAGGTTTCTCCCTGCAACTACTTATTGTAAGTGAATTCCAGGGTGCGAGCATCACCCATTGTCCACAAACGGGATGAGATCCGGACAGCTCTCCAATCCAAATGGGAATGCGCTTCTCCAGTTACAGCCAACCCCACCACCCCCAAGTCTCAGACGAACGCTGCTGCAGATTGGAACAGGTGAACAAAACAAATCTACTTGCGAGTAGAGTTCTGTTCCACAGATAAGGATTTGGGTTTCTCTCACCCACGTGCACAAGGAGAAAAAAAATAAACATTTCAGTGAAACGACTCTTGGAAGTTGTGCTGAATAAATGAAAACGGATGGTTCTTTGTTATAAAATTGAACCAAGTGTCAAGCAGCGTTTGGGGTTTTTTTCTTCTTATGCTTTACAGCTATAGAGTGAGAGAAATGGGATGAAAAACCTTGCCTACAATTGAACCAAATTTCTAGCATTACTATTTCCCATGTCCTCGCTGACTTAGTTCCATGGAGGTTTTTACTCTTTTAGCTTTGGGTGGGCCAAAAATGGGGGAGGGGGTACTTGGCTGCCATAAAAATGCAGTTTTGATCCAGTAGCTGAGGGTACCTTTGTAGATGGGAACAGAGAGGGGGACAGAGTTGTTTTGGGCAGCAGTGCAAATGAATCCACAAGGGAGGAAGGAAAGGGTTTTCCACAGGCTCTTTGATGTGGACAATATAGCACATAGTTATAGATCCCCAAATGATCCTTAGTGTTCAGCCTCTTGTCGGTCTGAGGACCTAAAGCCACACCAGTTAGAGTCCATTAAAAAAAAAGTTGGCCTACCATTGCTTCACCCCTCCCACAACAAGATTATGCGATGCAGTTTGATAGATGCAGCATCAGAGAGAGAGAAAAAAAATGCTTGTACTAACACAGAGAGTTGCCACTCCTGCCTGAGAAGGTGAAACTTACTAATGTAGGCATTGCTGTTGTTTTAGCATCCAGTCTTGGGACACGACGGCAGAAAAGGATAGTTTCCCAGTGTCCCTTGCTGATGGATCAAAACTGCATTTTTTATAGAAGCAATAAAAATCCCAGGAATTTGCTGGCCTTATGATTTATTAAACGTGTTCCTTATAGCAAAGCTGCCCATAGATGAGAAAATATCTCCCTGTTAGTCAGCCTGGGGTGAACGTATAGGGGGCGACTTTCTTGGTTTATTAAGAATGTTCGAAGTTTAGGAACTGGTGGATGAAAGCCCAATGAACAGAAATGACCTAAAAACAATAAAATAAAAACCTTGTACTTCGCATACACCCTAGGCTGGAAAGTTAGCTGAGCTGACCTACCTTGATTCTGATAGGCACTGAAGCAAAGTACAAGTACAGATATCTAATAATGGAAGAAGCCAGCCTCCAAGGCAGATTTTGGAATTGAATTAAAAGTCTATTTATTAGAGTTTGGGGTCCCTGGAGGCATAGAACTTTTCCCAGACATTTTTCTTACAAACATTTGAGACAGTAAAGTAGGGTTCAGACATTAGAGCCATCTCTACCGCAACCTGGCTTTGGTTCTCATTAGCACTGTTTGAACATTACATATTCTTTTGACACAATTATTTAACAAGGAACAGAATTAAAAATGGGTCAGGGGGGAAATAAAGGGATTATAAAAGGGACAGAAGAAATCAGGAAAAGCACACAGACTAAAAAGAGGGAATATTCTTGTGCAATTTTCCTCTTTGCTTCGGGAAAAACTAATCAGAACTAGAGAGTCTGAGAAATTAAAGAGATTTTCTCTAGTCTGAGCTTAATGTAACATGTGATAGGCATCTAGGTGAAAGATAAGAAAAAGGAAGAATGGGAGACTGTCAAGAAAGAGAAATAAAGTCCTTACCTTCTTAGCTGACACTTTCTCCTCGGGCTTGCAGAGGGGAAGTTTGGTTTGGGTTTTTTGGGGGGCAGTGAGGGGGTCCCTAAACAAACTAACTTTTATTACTGTTTGAATAGCCTACTCCATAGGAAGTGCCGCAGTTGCTCGTGGTACCTTTGTGGAGAGGAGCGAGAGAGAGGACAGAGCTGTGCTAGGCAGCGCTGCAAATGAGAGCATGAGGGAGGGAGGAAAGGTTTTTCACAGACTCTTTGATGGACTAACGCAGCTCAGGACTGGGTTGGCTGGTTACTTTTTTTTTTTTTTTTTTTTTGAGTGGGTTCCAGCTCTGGATTGTTTCTCCGTTTCACAGACACAGAAGAAAGTGTCGTTATAAAACAAAAAACCACACCCACGTCCACACCCGTACCCACACGCACACTCCCACCCACACATTGACCTGAGGTAGGCAGGGAAGAGTCTCTTCTCAAATAATTGCAGGGCCAATTAACCCCATATTCAGCTGAGCAAACTGTGCCCCTTGTCAGCACCAAAGTGGCAAAAATGTAACCAAGAGGCCAAACTGACCAGGGAGGGGCGTAGGAATTCAAGTGAGATTCCAGGGTCTTGGGACTAGACTCTAGGCTGTGGCTATTGGCGGGAGCTTGCTGGATGTTCCTGGGACTCCAGGAATCATTTTGTCTTCGGGCTCAGTCCAAGCACATACGAAAGCCTGGCACGGCAAGGAGGTGATGGCTCTGGGTCTGGGAGTCGTCACTGGGAAGTGTCAAGGAATGAAACCCCCAATTCCAAGCACACTGAAAGGCAAGGTACCTGGGAACCTGTCCAGAGTGCCCCAGAGAGGGTGGACCAAAGACAATGATCAAGCGATTTGTCTCCTGCCATCCTTCTCTAGCCTCTGACAAACAGAGGCCAGGGATACCATTTCTATCCCCTGGCTAATAGCCTTTTATGGACCTAACCTCCATGAAATTATCTAGCTTCTCTTTAAAGTCTGTTAGGCTGTGTCTAGACTACATGGCTCCATCGACGGAGCCATGTAGATTAGGGTTGTAGGCAAAGGGAAATGAAGTGGCGATTTAAATAATCGCCGCTTCATTTAAATTTACATGGCTGCCGCGCTGAGCCGACAAACAGTGTCTGCTCACCGTGCTGGTCTGGACGCCCCCCTGCCGACATCAAAGCCCTTTGTCGGCAGCCCTGGTAAACCTCATCCCACGAAGAATAACGGGGCTGCCGACAAAAGGCTTTGATGTCAGCAGGGGGGCGTCCAGACTAGCGCGCTGAGCCGACAAACAGCTGATCAGTTGTTTGTCGGCTCAGCGCGGCAGCCATGTAAATTTAAATGAAGCGGTGATTATTTAAATCGCCGTTTCATTTCCCTTTGCCCAATAAACAAATCTACATGGCTCCGTCGACGGAGCCATGTAGTGTAGACGTACCCATATAGTCCTAGCCTTCACAGCCTCCTCTGGCAAGGAGTTCCACAGATTGACTATACGCTGTGTGAAGAAGAACTTTCAAAAAGCCAGCGTCACACCCAAGCCACTGACCATCCCCAAACTCTGAGTTCTGGATCACCTCAGATTTGCTCTCTCCTTGCTGCCTAGCTGTATAATGGGCCAGACTGGAGCAGCATTTCCAGACATCCCCAAACAGTGGGGAATTTCAGACACATATATAGGTTAGGCTGACGTCTACTGTAGCTACCCAGCCTGGCTCCTACCTTACAGAGAAGCGTCAGTGAGAGATCCATTTGTGGTCGCTGTAGGAGGGTGCATCTAGCTCATTAGAGCAGGGCTATTCAACTTTGAGCCCTGGGGGCCACAATGATACTCACAGCATATGCCGAGGGCCGCATCTTAAGTGTGGTTGCGTATACATGCAAATACATGCAAATATATGCAAATAGCTCCTTTCACACTGACGGGCATGAATACAAAGATTAAAACAACATGCAGGCCCCATTTAAGTCAATTCTGCTGATATTAATAAAATGCAATATTTGCCCGATTTCTACCCATCTGACAGCACTTTTATTGAGCAATGATAGTCCAGGAATTTAACTACTAAAGTGCATATCAACAGAAGACCATTCTATTGACTCGCCGTCGTGGAGTGTGTTCGCATTGGAGGCCATGTTCAAAGGATCCAACCCATGAGCTGCGTGTTGAGTTTTAAAGCGTCAGTCTCTCTAGGACCTGCCATTTCACTAAACTTCCCCAAGACTCTTGACAGATGGCAGCTTCCTGTTTGAACATATCTCAGCTCCTCCCAAGAGGTTCTGTCACTGTCCCTTAAAGTACAGCCAAGTTCGGAGCAGTACTTCTATAGCCAAGAAGTGCTGCCATGAACCTCAACAGGACTTTGGCTGGAGTAGAGACTTCAGCATTTAACTCTGCAGTGACTCACACAAGAGTCATGTTGACCCTTCGGCCTTCCAAGGTGGATAAAGGGAGCTCTGCACACTTGACTGCGTGAGGGTTGTTTAGACCTTAAAAACTTCATTGCCCTGCGTGGAGTTTTAAGATATCACAGAATTTTGGGGGGAAAGAGAGTTTGCTTGTTTGTTTGTTTGTTTGAGTGGGTTCCAGCTCTGGATTGTTTCTCCATTTCACAGACACAGAAGAAAGTGTCTTTATAAAACAAAAAACCACACCCACATCCACACCCGTACCCCACACACCCACACACACACTCCCACACACACATTGTCCTGAGATACGCAGGGAAGAGTCTCTCCTCAAATAATTTCAGTGCCAATTAACCCCATATTCAGCTCAGCAAACTATGCCCCTTATCAGCATCAAAGTTTCCCTCCCACCTGTCATGGTACGTGATTAGAGGTAAGTTACATCATTTAATACACTACTGAAAGATGCATATAGACACTACTGTGATGGGTGTGCTATAAGAACCTGATAGAATAGAAAAGAACTGCAGTTTATTGTTCAACCTCTAGATAGCCTTGTATACTTTACAGTATAGTTCCTGGTAAACAAAAGAGAAAGCTGGAACTCAAGCTATGTGGAACGCATTAAACCTCTTAGGAGTAAGGGTTATTTCAAAAGAAGGGGTTTCTTTCAAAATAACTGCGTCTACACAGCATTTTTTATTTCAAAATAGGATATTTTGAAATAGCGGCCAGACGCAATTATGTAAACGAAGCGCAGGAAATTCAAATCCGCGCTTCATTTTCAATTTCACTTGGCTGCATTTGCATTCCTCTCTCGAAAGAGGAATGCAGTGTAGACATACCGAAGAACCCCAATGATTTAATCCCCGGACTCTGACCCTAAATCTGCAGACCAGGGGTTGGGGATTCCTCATCCTAGGAAGCCGTCGGGAACAATGTGCTACCTGGCCTGGAAAGGCAGGGCACTGGAGATGGCCCCGGATATAAATAGTGCTGAGAAAGCTCCTGGCAGCTGGAGTGACAGATTATTTGTGGTGAAACCTAACATTATTCTTCCTTTTCCCCTTCCCATGCTTGCACTGTCCACTCAAACCAGACCTGCTGGACTGGGTCATGCCAGAGCATGCCTGGACTGTCTGGGGGGAAAGCTTCAAAATCACCCTGTGCAATTCTCCCTGCGGGGGCTGAACCCAGGAGAAGGGGGCCAGATTATCCATGAGGCACAACAGGCACGGTGCCAAGGGCCTATGAAAAAGTTTAGGGCCTACAAAAACGTGTAGGGCCTACAAAAAATTGGGGGCCTAAAATAATTCATAATTGCCTTGAAAATAAGAAAAGAAAACTGCTAAATCAAACTTAATAATTTGCTATCTGTAGTCAGCAAACGATATACAAGTATAACTTACAATTCAATATTAGGCATACGGGCGATAGAGCATTTCTCCCTTATATAATCTAATTAAAGACCTATGATTATGAGAGAGCCCCTAGGGCCTACGAAGACCTTAATCCGGCCCTGGGGAAAGGAAACAACTTTTCCTCTTTCTCTAGGGCTACATCTACACAGCAGCGCTATCCGATATCCTGAAATAGCTATCCTGCCTCTTAACAGCAAGCCCGTTATCTTGAAATATAACAGTCTCGCTATTCTGACGTCCCTGTAAACCTCATTCCAGGAGGAATAAGGGACATTTCGGAATAGTGGGTTATTTTGAAATTAGTGGGTTCTTTTGAAATTTGGCACGGCGTAGACATCGCCAAATGACGAAATAAGCTATTTCGAGGTAAGATCGAAGTAAGACACACCATTTGCGTAGCTCTAATTGCGGATTTCATTTTGAACTATGGTGCCCCTGCTCTCCCACAGACCCCCACAGCACTGGCTCCACAGAGGTCGCAGGTAGGACGCCGACGCCGACTCCCCGGGTGGCTTCTCTCCGCTCTGAATGAGCTGGAGCCATGACGGCAGGTCGGTACCTGCGGGATGCACAGCCACGCACTGGCTTTCCTCAGGCTGAGCGTGTCGTGTGGATCACAGGCCAGAACGAAAACAACCTCCTCCAAGGCGTCTGCGCTGCTCAGGCATAGCCCGTCACCACCTCCGTTATTTACCGCCTTCGTGGGGCGCGGCTCATTCCTCTTCGGCAGCTCAGAGTCCTGAGGGGCCCTGGCCCTTTGTTTTCCTTGGCCCTTGTTCGATCCCTTTTTTTGAGGCAAATTAGTTACAACTTCTAATTGACAGGTGTTGCTGGCTGGGCGGCAGGGCTCAGCCCCCCTCTGTCCCAGGCCTGTTGCTGTTGGACGCAATTGCGGCATGCCTTCTCCAAAGGACGAGCACAGCAGCGCCATGAAGGAGCTCCAGGAAGCCACATGCTGAACATATTTGAACGGCAGGCGGTGCCAGATATCCCACTGGTGGGTGGCCGCAGAGCCCTCCCCCTGCCAGAAACACCACACGCTCCTCCAGCTATCCACGCACATGCCCTTCAGCCTGCGTCTGTCCCTCCTCCCTCAGATGCCACCCTCCGCCCAGCCATCTTCACGCTAACCCGCTCTGTCCTCTCCCAGCACAGACCTCTTCCTAATGCTAGTCTCTTTGCATACCTCTCTGCCTGAGTATCTTGGCCCCTCTTCCCTCAGCATACCCTCCCCTTCAAGAGTTGCCTCTGTATTCCACGGCAACAGGCCTTGCGGAGCTGGGCTCTCAGCTGGTGTAAATCTATGGCGCTCCCATTGACATCAATGGCGCGATGCCAGTTGACACCAAACAAGAACGTGGCCCATGGGATCCAAGCCAAGGCTGCCTGGTACCCACCTCAGAGCTGAAA